GGCTATACACGCGCATTGAAAACACAACAAACGCTGCTTTAGTTTCAGAGCGAGACCTTGGGCAGTCCCTGTTAAAGAGTGTGTGTTCGATTTTCGCCCAGGGCACAGGATGTTTGTGAGCGTCCTTTTCATGTTCTGCACCACCTCCTATGTACCCCACCGCCCCATCAGCACCCATATTTAGCAAAGCTTTGTCATAAAAATTACATGAAATGTAAGTGTTATTTGACATTGCCATCCAAACTTGACATGACATAACTTATCAGAATATACCAATCGTATACAAGTAATTTAACAACGATCTGGAAGTTAACTGTAATGTGTAGTTCGTACACGTGAAATCAGATTCTCGCTGCGGTGAAGAGGACGATATTTGCTTTCCTGGTTATAACGCCTTACGCAAATATCAATTTTCGGAGAAACATACTGCCTCCATCGTCAGGGTTGAAGATGGAGACAGTATGTTCGAACATTAGTGACTATCTGCAGTCTACATGGCGTTACAATAGAATAACATCGGTGTACTTAGTACATGTCTTTAGGTCGTATTTAACGTTTAATCATAAAGTTCGTAAATCGTAGGCATCTACATTCCTTTTAGGAAACACGACTGACATGGAAGCCATATAACTAAAGATAGCCTATATGAATATCTGTGAGACGAAATGACGATGGTAAACTAACTAGCATGAAATAGTCGTTAGAAAACTGACAGTTGCTCAGCTGCACCTGTAGTGTAGCCAGGGCGGTCAAGGGTGGAGCTCCGGTGATTCCTTGAGTAGGGAGGCTCTTCTAGGTAGTTGTGTCAAAAACAGGCAAAGGCTTCTGGGCGAATAAGCGGGGTTTGAAGCCCCCCACCCAAAAAAAAAGACACGGACGCCAGTCTAGAAACTTCAGGCAGAACTTATAACTGTTTAATTTCGTGATTCATTCCCATTTATTTCGACATAGAACTCTGCTAGACAGCCCGGGCATTGCAACCCTGATCAGCTGAGCAAAAAATTCCCGCCTTTTACTGAACCCAAAAATGCATTACTGTGTTCAGAAGTTTCCGCCACTGGTTCACAGACCGAAACAGTGCAGTTCGGTCATGTTCCTTTAAAACATCCGTTGTCTCAGTATGTACCGATTAACCAACTAACTAGATGGCTTACGGAACCCGTAGGTTCATCACCGAATTAACCAAAGCCCTCCACCGGACCCTGTCCTGGGCCAACAATATCCAGTCTCCTTCAACTCCTATCTCCCATAGATCCCGCCTGACATTATCCTCCCATCTATGTCTAGGTCTTCCCAGCAGTCTCTTCCCCTGAGGCTTCCCAACAATACCTGGTGCACAACTCTTGTCCCATCCATGCGCGCTACATGCCCTGCCCATCTCATTCTTCTCGACTTAATCACCCTGACAATATTGGGGGAGGAGTATAATTTTTTTTTAAGTTCGTCATTATGTAGATTTCTCCAGACCCCATCGTCTTCTCTCCTAGGCCCAAATATCCTCCTCAATACTGACTATGTCTTGAAACTAAGATCCAGTTCCAGAGGTGACTTAACAAATCATTACACAATTCAAAAAATAAGACTTTCCTGGAAAGAAACGCAGAGTATAAAAACTATGTCTTGCGTGACAGCCAGGCCAACAATTTCCCAGATTTATTTCCGGGATTTGACAAAAACTAAACGCGCTTTTAAGGGCATTCTTTCAGAATCGGACACTGCAGTCGCGATGGTAATTCCCCATGACAACGATAGAAAGTTAATTAGTGACCGAGGATAAGTGCTTCCCGTTACGCATCACCACTCACGAATGTAGGACCAATGTCCTTCCATCGCCTGAAGCCGAGGCCTGTTATTACTACTGTGGAATCAGGAGGTAAGATCGAAGGACTATCAATGGTAGGTGTATAGCAAAGAACTCCGAGAGGATAATGGATATGGTGACAAGGCAAAACTGAACGTGTCTATGCTATATGAGGCAGCAGCTTCAAGAGGCACTTAAGTCAGTTAATTTCAAAAACTAGAAGCGTCGGTTACGTTGCCTTACTGATTTACACAAACACCACAGTCCAAGTGGAGTCGGGGCACCAATTATTGAATAATTAAACCCATTATTAACATACACCGTGAGTGCTTAATTTTATAAACCCATACAACTCACGTCAAGACGATATTTATCTCTTATGACAGCAAAACAATTATGATACAAAACAAAGAAACGCAGAAAAAACGAAAAGAAATTTCTCTCAAACGTCTCCATTCTACAGACATTTTGGAACACAACAGTTATAAATAAATATAATGTAAACTTCAAATCCAGCTTACTTATTATCAAAGTGTAAATAAGGTGCACAGAACTGGCAATATCTCATGTAGGTCTCAGGACATATGTTGACGCGGATTCGTCATCATTTAGTGTTCAAAACAGATACGAACAATATTCAAAAAGTGAGGGCAATATAGGAACATTTTCGTTGTATGATTGGCAACGTTGCTGAATCCATATCATGGCGCAACTCAAGGTCAGGCGGTAGCATTCTGCGAGTGTGGTTCAGTTGTAATCAATTTGTGCCGAATGAGCATGGCGTAAAGATGAATAACAAGCAATATGCGACAGTGCGTTTTCAGTGTCTGTAAGAAAGAAAATGGCGGAGATCCATCGACAATTTTCTGCCAAGTATGGACACAACTGGTTGTATCAATGAGGCGTGTACGAGTGGATCGAAATGTTTAAAAACAGTAGAACCATTATTGATGCAAACAGGTAATTTCTGAAACACTACGTATAAATGTTGCTCACTTTTGGTGCAAACCCCTCGTGCAGTAAATCATCTTTACACCACACATACACTGGGCATAAATGGATTACAGTTGAACCACACTTGCAGCATGCCACTCTCTGACCTTGTGATACAGTATGACCAAGCCTCACCAGTAGTACCAACAGTGCAACAAAAGTATTTCAATACTACCCTCACATTTTGAATTTCCTTCATATTGTTGCTAAGTACGAGGTGCGATCGGAAAGTTTCAGGACTGCGCGTATAAAAACCCGTACACTTATCTCAGGTATTAAATTCATCCATCACCCTCGAAGTAGTTCCCCTGGGAGTGAACACAACGATCCCAGCGCCGCTGCCAAGCCTGGAAGCATCCCTGGAAATCTTTCTTTGCCAGCCTGTCAAGCACCATCTGCGATTCTGCCTGAATCTCTTCTATCGTCTCAAATCTCCTTACCTTTAGCTGAATTTTCATCTTTGGGAAGAGGAAGAAGTCACACAGAGCTAAATCCGGCGCTATGGGACCTGTCAGCTGATTCTAAACGAAGAACTCCCCATGCGACGCATCATGACAACGCGCCAGCGCACACCGCCCTCAAAGTTCGGTAGTTTTTGGCCTCAAACACTATGGCCGTCATCCCGCACCCTCCTTATTCGCCGGCTTTAGCTCCGTGTGACTTCTTCCTCTTCCCAAAGATGACAATTCAGCTAAAGGGAAGGAGATTTGAGACGATAGAAGAGATTCAGGCAGAATCGCAGATGGTGCTTGACAGGCTGACAAAGAAAGATTTCCAGGGATGCTTCCAGGCTTGGCAGCGGCGCTGGGATCGTTGTGTTCACTCCCAGGGGAACTACTTCGAGGGTGATGGATGAATTTAATACCTGAGATAAGTGTACGGGTTTTTATACGCGCAGTCTGGAAACCTTCCGATCGCACCTCGTACATCCACTGAACCAATCGTAGTTTCTCAGCGTCTTATAATCCGCTACCTCACACCGAAATTTTAAACATTTAATAAATACAAAACATGCTACAATGTTAGTGAGAACTGTATGGTTGGAGTGAGATGTGATTAGTAGCCTAGAGGCACAAAAAATCAAATCATGCGTGTATTTGACTGCAGGCCCATAATATTTATATATTTATTAATGATAACGCAACGGGAAACTTATAAGATACAGGCCTATTAAAATACCAGAATTATGTTCTTCTCTGAATTTAAGGCATCAAACTTAAAAATCAATTTAAATTGTAGTCTTAAAAGCCTTACTTTGTTTTACGTGTAGGTATTAAGATAGGACAATAAAACATAACAGTTTCAAAACTGAATATAATGATTTCCGAAATACACTCAGCTCTTAATCAGCCAAAGCAACTACCTCCATAGAACATAGTCGTCCTTCAGACGTTAACTGTCGCTCGACTAGTCAAGATATTCCCTGGCAGTCATGTTAACCAAACGCTCATAACCGTGTTAATAACAGTCCACCTCTGGGCCCTATCGCGCGCCAGGCGAATCCCGTCCAAACCCTATCATTGTTCCTTTCGATGCACTTTAACTCTTTGAAGCCGAAGCTCGTCTAAATATTATTTAATAAATCAGTCCGTACCGCGAAGAAAACACAACACTTCACCATTACAAAAGACAATTGGTTGACGCTGTTTAAGGAAATAATCCCTGTTTACACTGAGAACAATCCGAAACCCATATATACAAAACGCAGCGTTATTAACAGTGTGAAGAAGGTGGTACATTACCACTGGGTCTTAAAGGGTTAATGTTAACCTCCCATCAACACCTAGATCTTCCTAGCAGTTCTCTTTCTGAAGATTTCCGTCTTCTGGGTTGTTGCGCTGTGTAGTCTGGTCGATGTTAACCAACGTTTCAGAGGTCATACTGCCTCCGCCATCAGGGCGATATTCTTCATACTCACCGCTGTGAAAACCTCAAATCTTACACAGTTCTCTTTCTGGCTCTTTGCCCAAACCTATGTTCTGAATTATTAAGATGTCCTCAGTGTCATGTAGAATTCCTACAGTTTTCCCAGTTATTGTATTGTTGACACCGTTATTTACGAGATTGCCCTGTTTTCTGATTGCAAGACATGCCCTCAGCCGTGATTGTATGTTCCTAGATCAACATGCAGTCGCTTAGAGCAGTTTGCAACTTCACTTTAACTGCTCCCACTAACACGCATGACTGATAACACAAACGGACTTACTTTGAAGTGGTAATGCCTGCAGAGTGGCTTGTAGGCGTTCGTACCGCAGATGAGGACTCTGTTCTCGGCTATCTTCGCCAGCACACGGATGTAGTTCTGGCAGTCATCCTGTGAACACGTGCATGAGTTACTTATAACACTCTTAAACTTACAAAGCTACTCACACATTCAAGAACGTAAGGCACTCAAGTGTTCTGGAGAAAATAAACTCGGGACGTGCTCGCGAAATCAGAGACCTGCAAAATAGTTCTTTTCATAATACAGGTGACTCATTATACGCGCTTTCGCTATCTGCGGTTTTATTTCATTATCATGAGGAGCATCAATATCCAATACGAAGCCAATTTTTATAGTCTAACATCTCCTTCAGGATTAACAGGGAATGTGATGCAATGATAAATTAATTATCACGGAATTCTGGTTGGTTTTTTAACAAAATGGCGACTATTATAATTTTATAAGGTTTCGTTATATGCGGAGATTCGCAGGAACGGAACGCCCCTGTATAATTAGAGCCACCTGCATTTTCTTCTCATAATATCAAGGAAATGTTTTAAAACCCTTTCACACTAGGACCTCATAGGAATGTAAATTAGTAACTACAATTTACGGCTTCAAAAAATGCACAATTATAAAGTTCGAATTTCAGTAAGAACTACCAACAAATATGAATACCATTGAAATATTCGATTTGGAATTCGCCGGCTGAACAGCGTTTCTTTATCATTCCTCCAAAATGTTCTATTCCTTTCAAGTTTCCCGACTAAAATTGTATATGCATTTCACATGTCACCAGGCGTATTAAATTCAATTCCATTTATTTAAGTGTTTGCCAACGGCAAGAAGCCAAACACTGATAATACATACAATAATAATGAAATAATAATCACAAATATTATACAACCACATTAACTAAACATGTACATGTACAGTATTAAATATAACCGCCTAATACAGGCAAATACAAAATAGAAACAATATTATACACAAAGAAAAGTAAATGAAGAAATGTAAATAAAAGCAAATAATCCAACAGTCACAATTATAATAACAACAAAGGAAGAGTACAAATTAGAAATATCCTTATTTTTCAATTTCCTCCATTCTCCTATTATTTTCCGACTTCTTGGTTCAAATATTCTGCTCAGCACTTCAGTCTCACTCCCAGATATGTTCCGAATTATAGCATTGGATGCAATTACTCACACTTACTTAAGTCTTAAAATCCACATTTATCGATGGTCGCTGTTTTCATAATTAGTACGTTTGTCGATTCCACGTTACTTTGTCCCGAGTTCAGGGCGCTGAGACCAAATTATAACTCGTTAGGAATGTTCGCTGAATGCAAACATTTTGCTACGCCAAACCGCAAACGAAATACAAACAACATTCTTCTAATGTCTAATGCCAACCAGTGGCAACACGAGGACCATTTGCTCGACCTGACGCTTCCATTCATCAGATCAAAATGCAAAATGCAAAATTGGGGAAATTAAAACTCGTTAATTAATCGATTGTCAATACGTATCGTGTTTCGGACGACTAAACAACTCTTGGCGTCATTTGTAATTAGGAAATAATAGCACATCCGTGGATTTCAGATGTACAAATTCTGACGGGAGTTAGCGGCAAACTTCATGGCACATGTTTACCACAAAACGCTGCCGGCAGACAACAGCCTTGTGCCTTATATGTATACCACATCTGGGAATGTTACTAGATTACAATTAGTGACTTTTCGTTTGGGATGTTTCCTTCTGGCGACTAAAAGCTTTGTGTTGGACATACGTATCCCTCCCATTCACCCTTTCGCTGTGCTTACTGACGTGACCTGCTGAGTGCTGAGGACGACACGGAGATTTTGGATTGGTCGCTCTTCGTAACTGAGAAAGCCAAAGACTGTTGGAAACCGCAGATATCTAGAAGACGGATATGTCTGGTAAATTATTCCCTATGCAAGCGAACAACAAAGTACGACTGCTAATTCTCAATCCGGATGACTTGTCTCTAAGTTCAATACCGCATGATGCCATTACGTTTTATACAGCAGACCTAAATAAACACGTTTGGATGTCCTACAAATAATTAGATTTGTATATTAATATTTGTAGTGTGTAGTATGAGACTGGGGTTGTACCGGCCCTCGGAAAACACACTGCTAATTTAGCGGTAAGTAGAAAAGATAATGAGAACTATTGCCTCGTTGAACCAATCATTCTTAACGTGACACTCAAAAACACAAAATGGCGCAGCAGTAAAACCAGAATGTCAACGCAACCTATATCAAAGCTCGATCCCTACGAAGCTTCATTCGCCTCACATAACACTAAATGATTTGTGGTTACGGATGGTCATTTATCCCACCTACTTTCATTACCCAACACTATAAACTATCCACTTTCCAACAATCGTACTGTAACACTGCAGAAATCACTGCGTTTCTCAAAATCGTTGGTATCTACCTACAAGTACACACAGCTACACAAACCGTAAGACATACATCGAAGTACCCTATATCCCTGAAGTAAATTAAAGCGGTCACGCTATACGCCATGTAGGCGAGTGGGAGGAAAGGCAGTATAGCTCCTACTAATTTTTAACCTCAGCACTAGGTAGGGTGAGTGGTTAGGGTCACGCCCCAGCCGCGCTTTACCGCCGGGAAAGGACCCCGGTACTTACTGAATAGGAGGCTAGGTGGGCCCCAGAGCCGGTCTGGATGCAGAGGCTAGTGGAAACATCCTCTGAAGATGGCTGTCTTCTGGGTTGTTGCGCTGTGCTGCAGCAAGGACCTCTGAAACGTCGGTAAGGTTCTACCAGACTACACTGCGCAACCCAGAAGACAGCCATCTTCAGACTCACCGCCGTGAAAACCTCAAATAATACGAAAAATCCTCTGCCCCGTGGTCCAGTCCGCAGCCAGTCGCTATACTGACTGAGCTACCCCGGCAAAATCCCTACTGTTCATTATGTTATCCTCCCATCTCCTTAAATTTCATACTAACGACACAGAATGTCTCCTCCATTTAACCTACGTGTCCACCATTAACCCCTATTTCACTATCCTAACAATATTCGGGTTATATGTATCATGAAGCCTCTCATAGGTTCTCTCTTTACGTACGAATACAGGCCTATTTCCTGAGAATTTTGTTTTAAGCACTTGCAATTTTTGTAACTGCGTTAACACATGAACTGTAATCGGCTTTTCTCTTTCGTGGGCTCTCTCTGGCTTAAATAAGTTATGAGAATGAGTTAAATTAATGTAACTGTGAATACTTTTTTAAATTACAATGTGCTCACTGCCATTAGCTGTCAGACGAGGAAATTATGTGGACTTTGTACTACAATAAACTCACTGAACTTTCATGTGTTTCGTAAACCAAAGGAATTGTTCAGTTTTGTCGTATCTTTTCGCAAGGGAAACAAATTCGTATATGATTGGCCATGCTTCTACAGCGTGAAAGAAGTAGTATGTTCTGTCAATGCGTGGCTTTAAAACTTCAATTACACGATAGCCTAAAATGAAAATTTACGAACAGAAAATATCTTTAAATAGAAATTAGCACCTTAAGCGCTTATGAATGAAAACAGTGCTATTACGTATATTACATATTAAATACCTTGGAAGATGTCGTAAGATGTGTGGTGGTATTTGCGGATCAGTTCCCACAAGCGATATCCGGAATTTGTGATTCCAGTAGGTCCATTTAAACTATTTGTATTTATTTACAGTTTCAAATTTATGTTACATGCTACATGATTAAACAGTTACATTGTGTTCTAAACAAAACAACAAGATCGTGGGTTATTTAACGACGCTATACAAACTGTAACATCTTATTTAAGAGTCTATTTGCAAGAAATGATGACAACGTTCAGTAAATAACGAGTTAGGGAGAAAAAGATTGTGGACTACATCAAAGCACTATCCAGTATCCCCTGAATCGACTAAGGACACCTCAGAAACCTCTGTCAGTGTAGTCCGGGGCCCGGCAGAGAATCGAACCGCGCACCCACGAAATACAACGAGAAGTGTCACCGATTTGGCCACACGATCAGTAAGATACAAACCACTCCGTGTTCAATGGGCCGGTTGCTTTAAAAAGTCACATAGGCTAATGCTGTAAAATCCAATTACAAAAAGCAGTTACGATGAATCTGTGAAGTCCAAAGGCATGGCTTTACTCCGCTCGAGCTATATACAAAGCCATTGTTCAAACGCAGCAGAGTTATATAAAGGTATCAACCCTGGCGGATACACAAAGTTACCTAAATTTAAATGCAGACCACAGAAAGGAGAGCCAAATTACTGGTAGCCGATATATTACACGAAACAACTCATAGCGTGATAAAACAATGCTTTACAAAAAGTTCAAAACTGTTCATTTACATATAAATTAATATAAAAATTGTAAAAAACATAGCAAATTTATTGCTCGTATTATTTCACTGAAAACGCGCATGACCCTGCGTGGCCATTAAGCTTTAATTAAATCTATAAATCAGATTCGAGGAAATCGAAAAATTGTAAAGTGAGCCATCTTCTCGTCAGTGATCATGCACGAATTGGAATGAATATCTAAAACACAGAAGGTCCACTTTACTCTGTTCATTTAATGATGTCTCATAAACGCTGTAGGCTACAAATCTAACTGTTTATAGCTTAGAGTTATGAGAATTATCAGGAAATATAAAGGAGTATGGAGCCGATATATATTTTAAGGCACTATCCAGCATTAGCCTGAAGCGAAAAAAAAAATAACAGAACCTCAACCAGGTATTTAGGCTGCGGACCGGACCCCAGACCTACTGAATATGAAACAGGAGTGCCACCCATTCGACAGCAATGTTCTTGTCCCATACAGAACCCACTTTGAAATGTTTAATTACTTAGTATGTACGCAGAGAAGCATATTACAGTTCTTATAGTTTTACCGTACAGAGTTCAACATGAGAGTTCTATTCGGTAATCTTCAGTTCAAACTCACATAGTTCATTTTGACTGGAACAGACTGTATTCAGTCTTGTGTAGGATATGAGGTTTCAACGGCTGTGAGTCCGAAGATGGCTGTCTTCTGGGCTGTCTGTAGTCTGGTAGAAGTTTACCG